GAATCTGATGATAACCAGACCTCAAATCAATCTTGCTAAACACACAAGCACCCACCAATTGGTCCATAAAATCATCAATCCTCGGAAGTGGATACTTATTCTTAATTGTCACCTTATTCAACTGCCGATAATCCACACACAATCTCATGCTACCATCTTTCTTCTTCACCAACAACATAGGAGCACCCCACGAAGAAAAACTCGATCGAATAAACTTCTTCTCAAGCAGTTCTTCCAACTGTTTCTTCAATTCTCCTAACTCAGATTCAGACATCCGATAAGGAGCCATCGACACAGGACTAGTTTCTGGTATCACATCAACAATAAACTCTACCTCACGCTCAGGAGGTAAGTCACTCACATCATCAGGAAACACATCTGGGAACTCCCGAGCAACTGGTATCTCCATGCTCACTACTTCATAATCAACTTGAAGTGACACAAACAATGCAAACATCTGAGCCTCATATTCTAAGAGTTCTTCTACTTGTTTAGCAGATACAAAAATCAGCTCTCCACAATCACCAAACTCTGGAAACCTCACCGTCTTGTTGTAGCAATCAATATGAACATAGTTGAACTCCAACCAGTTCATACCAAGAATAACATCAATTTGATGCAAAGGTAAACAGACCAAGTCCATCACAAAATTCTTATCATAAATAGTCAAAGGGCAACTCAAACAGACTAACGCTGTAGTCACAAAACCATTAGTCGGGATATCGATAACCATACTCCCAACCATAGAAGATAATTTCAATTTCAACCTCTTACCGCATTCAAGCGAAATAACGAATGAGTAGCACCGATATCAATAATAGAAATCAATTCAACATCATTAATAAAGCAAGTACCTGTGATCAAGTTATATGTCTTAGATTCTTCCGCACTGCTCAAAGCAAACACTCTGCCATTCGTCTGAGCAGCAGTAGCAGTCTTCTTCGGCTACTGACAGTGGGTACTGATATGACCCTTCTCTCCACAGTTGAAGCAAGTCGGAGCTTCATGTTTATAGTCAGTAGCTCTATGACCTCTCTTGCCATAACGATGACATCTCAGCATCCGACAAACCTCAGCACGGTGACCTTGCTCACCACACTTATAACACTTGCCTGGAGCAGTAGTCGCTCCCCCACTTGAATTTTTCCCATTTGAAGCCTTCTGCTTCCCTTTATCACCAGAAGTCACATACAGTTTCCTTCTATATTGACCTTTCTCTTTCCTCTCACTCACCTGCTTGTAGTGAGTAGATCGAGCTCGGCTATCCTCATCATAAATTTTGCTCTTGTCCACCAGTTCCGCAAACCGACGAATATGCTGGTACCCAATTCCTTGCTTAATCTCTGGTCTCAATCCATTCTCGAACTTGAGACACTTTGACGTCTCTGCGTTAGCACGATTGTAATGCAGACAAAACTTCACTAAAACCTCAAACTTTGCCGCATACTCAGCCACAGTCATATTCCCCTGCTTCAACTTAAGGAATTCCACCTCTTTCTTGCCCCGAACATCTTCAGGAAAATACTTCCTTAAAAATTCTTCCTTAAACACAGTCCAAGTTATTGCAATGCCAACACCTTCCAATCTCTGACGGGTGTTATCCCACCAGTCCTCAGCTTCCTCAACTAGCATATGCGTACCAAACTGCACTTGTTGAGCATCAGTACATGCCATAACTCAGAAAATCTTCTCAATCACTTTCAGCCATTTCTGCGCACCATCAGGATCATGAGTGCCCACAAAAGTCGGCGGATTGTTCCTTTGGAACTTTCCCAAAGCACGAAACTCATCTGGAGGTCCACCATCCTGGGCCATCACTTGGGCAAGTGATTCCAGCGCATCAGCAATAGCACGGTCATTTCTTCCAGCCATCTGCAACCACCAACAGGGTTAGAAGAAACAACTCATCCAATAGTGTTCTCACACTATTGACTGGCAGGGGACTAACAACGTAAAACCTTGGTCGGACGGACCGACCTGCTCTGATACCACTAATGTAACACCCTTTTCTACCCCACAGTTTTAAAGGCAAAATATTCACATTTATCAGAATAAAATATTAAACTCAATAAAAACACTTCAAAGGGGGTACATTTTCCAATAAATCAAATATAGGTCAAGGCTCCGTAAACAACGGGTTTTTCCAAAAGATATCAAAAATTTCTCAAAAGGCAGCGGAACTCAAAAAAGGCATAATCCAAAGTTTTCTTTGTATGGAAACATAATCAAAATAACAAAAAAATCACATAAAACATTGTTTAACTCAAAGACCCCAACCCAATGTTACACTATCAGAGGAAAACCCTCTAAGTTAACCAAAATGGCCAACAACTCAAAACTCCAAAAATATCCACGACAGTCCACGGCTAAACCTGGTCATCTGCATGTTACCCACATGGAGGTAACATTCAAACAGGCAGAGTGAGTAAAATGATTCATAATAATCAATATAGGAATTCAATATACAAAATGGCGTCATTTTCATATTCAACATCATTAATAGTCATCAAGGTACATCAAAGGTCATAATATCATAAATTACACCAAATTTTCACATAAATGCAAATGCAACAAGACTCATGCATGTGGTACCAATCATCACAGCTCGATGGACACTGGGCCATCAACCCTTCGTAGATCCCCATCAATAGGATCGATTCTACTTGAGAACCAGAGCACATCAAAATACTTCACATCCGCACAATGGGACTCAAGCCGAAGAAATTAAGGTCCTGAACCGAAGTCCGGATGCACATGAATGCATGATGCACACGTCAATAATCATCCTCATAATAACATCATAGGTGCATCATCATTCATCAAAATCATCATCATACATCATGTCGTCATAGAATCACCAAAACTCATGGAAATATCGTCATAGTTCATCAATCATTACATCATAGGAATCATCATATAATGATGTACAAATCACATAGAATTCATAGTCATACTCATATTAATTCGTCAAAGAAACCATATCATCAAAACCTCAAGGCATCAGTGCACAAAATCAAAATTCGCAAAACTCTGCTACGTTCGCTAGCAAGTTCACTGTGCGAGTCTAGGGCGAGTTTATTTGCTGTGCGAACACGCGATTACAACAAAACGCTGTTACGCACCAAAACCTAAAATCAACCTAAAAGTCCAATGATTCACTTCCCCAATAACCCAAAAACATCCCTAAGGTCTTACGGCGATAAAGACACAAAATCTACGACTTATTAGGCCAATCCCGTATCATATTCAAACTCTAATTTCCATCATTTCCTTACAACTACACCACGGTCATTAGAGTTTCTCACAATCTAATTACCCTACAAGGTTGAAACCTTAACGACAGATTTTGGCCACGAAGACCTACTTTCCCTCAAACCCAAATCGACCTTAATCCTATCAGATCATCAATTCAAATCCCTATGGTAAAAACCTCAATAATAGATTTTGGCCACGAAAGTCTAATTTCCTTTATCTCAAATCAGCCTTAAACCCTTTAAACCCTTAAATCAGCTTTAAATACATTGAATCACATATTGAAAACAATGAAGGCAATACTCCTCATACCTTAATTGCTGACTCGAAGCCTTCTCCTTGATTCTCAGAAAACCTTGCGAAGCTTTTGCCTCAATCCTCTTCCTCAGAGCTCTGGCCTCTATTTCTTCTCTTTACACAGTCTAACAAGAATGAATCTTAATTCCCTCACAAATCCTTTTTTGTTAAACCTAACTTTGGGCCTATAAATTAGGTTTTTCCAATATTACCCTCACTAACTCCTCTTTAATTGTCAAATTTGCCCTTAGTTAACTTATATTTATTTAAATTAATAATAATACCAATATATCCATATTATGTACTATTATTTAAATAAATAACCCAAAAATTCATAATTCTCAATATTCCACACAACCAACAAAAATCACAAAAAAATAAAAATGCGAATATTCCTATTAAATAAATATTCCAAAAAAATTTGGGGTGTTACAATTTTGGTGTGCTCTGATCCTAGGTGAGGATTGGAGCGAGTGAACCTGAGAGTTCACAAATTGGTACCACATGCATTGAGTCGTGTTGTTGAGTCTCATTGCATTGATAATTGTTGTAACACGATAATTGGATTGTTTGGAGTGTAAATTGCAGATTGGGTGATTTATGCATATGTTGTTGGTGTGCTTACACATTATTATGCATTTTTTTATATGATTGTGATTTCTTACCCCTTCTATTTAAATGATGCATTTACATGGGTACCGTGCAGATAATCTGCAGTAGAGGCTTAGATGTGAGTGGAAGAGATTGTTCTTCTTATTGTTTTTGTTGAGTCGACGTCTGATATGTAACACAGGAGAGTGAAATGCTTATTCGTCTTTAATTTATGTTTTGTGGAGATTACTATGTATATTTTCGAAGTTTGATAATTTTTTATGATTATATTTTGATTAATTAAACCATGTTGCTGATTTCAACTTGTTTATAAACTAATTTCAAGTTCAAAGTACTTATAGAATCATTTATACGTGGAATCAATGCGTTCTTCAATCGCCCTGCCGACATTTTAGCCATATATTTATGTCCATTTCAAATCAATACAATATGTGAGTTAGTAGTTACTAATACTGCAAATGCAAACGACTTGAGTAATAAATATCTAAAAACAAAACAAAACACTCACAATCACAAAATTTCCAACGTCAACATTGCTCATTCTTTTCACTTTGATTAAGGTTTAAGTTTATTAAAACATTCAAAATACAAAGGATAATAACACAACCAAACACTAAATACATGTCAAACATACACTTACAAACTTTACCTTATCCACCTCACACATTCTTTTTTTTTTTCTTCCTTTCATTTTATTTTATACATTTTCTTTCCAAACATCAATAGTAATAATAATAACTAAAATAAAAAGTGCTTCCCAAAAACTCTTCACACACTTCACACCTTTTCTTCAGGGATACTTTGGACTTTTCTTATTTTATTTTTGTTTCTTATTGTCGTCAGAGAGGGCACACAAGACGCTTAGCTGGAACAGCAACAAGTCGACTCGCTCTTGGAGCGGTGAGTCCAAAAACATCACTCGTATCCATTTCATTAGGTTTCATTCCATTTGGTAACTCCCAAGTAAAACCATGAAGTAAATGGGCCAAAGCTAAGTCCAATGCATACAGGCCCAATTGCATTCCGGGGCAAGATCTTCGACCCGACCCAAACGGAATAAACTCGAAGTTACTTCCTTTAAAATCAGGTGCACTTGAATTTAAAAATCTTGAAGGCTTAAACTCTTCTGCATCCTTCCATAAATCTCCATCTCTCCCAATAGCCCACGCGTTTATCATCACGCGGGAGCCTTTGGGTACGTAATAACCACCAACTGTTGCGTCCTCCGCTGTCTCGTGGAGGAGAAGTGGAATCGGCGGGTGAAGACGAAGCGTCTCCTTGACGACGCATTTTAGGTACGTTAATTTCTCTATGTCTGATTCTTCCACGCGCCGGTCTAGGCCAACCACGGTGGCGAGTTCTTGTTGCACGCGCTTGAGTTCTTCTGGATTTCTTAGTAGCTCCGACATAGCCCATTCCATTGCTGATGCAACCGTTTCTGTTCCTCCAAACATGACATCCTGTATTGTTTACACCACCGTGTGAGTTGTGACTTGTTGTCAATATACATTTGTCGTTGTTTCAAAGAAAAACATAAAATGGGAAATGGAAAATGAAATATGGTACTGGTGTTTGATATGGATTGAAAGATAATTGAGATTAACACTAACCCACTGAAATTACTCAATGGGAATTTCTTATCTTTTAGGCTCAATTCACACCATTTATTTTTTCCACTATTGACGGAGAAATATTATCGGAAAATCTAGTTGCTAAATAATGACAATTAATTGAAATCCTATATACCTTTTTTTAATATTAAGTTATTAATGTTATCATTTATAATATATACTTTTTTTTAATATTAAGTTATTACATTATGTTATAAAAATAAAAATAAAAATAAAAATCATTTGTCAGAATTGACATCCTATATTAATACTTATATAACTCAAACCAATTGAGCTGCTCTTCCCTATAATATATACCTTATCTAATAATTAATTAGTGTTAACGTATAATGTTATAAAATAATTAATATTATTAAGTTAGTTATCATGTACATATCAAACATATATAATAAGTATTTATCTTACTCTAATTAAAAATTATTATATTTCTATTATTTATAAAATTTTACATGTGTATACCAAAATTTACTATTGAATTTAATTATTATATAGATTATATCTATAACATTAACATTAATTTGAAATCATTTAATAATATATTTTTTTATATATACTTTTCATTTATAAAAAAATAATTTTAAGAGAAATTCTTTTGATTATGTTAATAAGACACATAAAATTAATTTCTTTGATAAAATTTTATAGAATGTTAGTTTCCGTTTATCTTATTGACATATCAAATAATTTTAAATTAATATTATATTTTACAACATAATCTATGAAATTATAACTTTCAATACAATGATAAAATTTATAATGGTGTTATTAAATTTGCCAGTGTGGTAGTGCAAAAAACTTAAAATTACATGTTCATTCATATCTCCTTTATGTTGACATTATTTAAAAAAATAACATCACTAAAACTATTTATATTTCAGTCAAATAACATTTTTTACAACCCAAAAAATTAGTTTGGTTGTATTGTGTTAAAAAAATTTTTGGTTTCGTCGTAAAAGTTGGTTATGATTTCATTATCACTTAAAAAGAATAAAGAATAAAACAAAATTTGGTTTAATTTATGTCACACATATATTGACACGTTTTACTTTTTATATATATATATTAAAAGATAAAGAATAAAACAAACTATTTTATTTGTTTGCAGGATCTACTTATAGAACACCCCTTCTTAAAATAAGTTCTTCAAACAAATGTATTACTAAATTCTGTTTTGTTTTGTTGTATAATAATATATTACAAATAGTAGTCATTAAATTGTTTAAATATTAAACATTGAATATAATACATGGTTATTGGAATATTTTTGTATTTATTATTATTATTATTATTATTATTATTATTATTATTATTATTATTATTATTATTATTATTATTATTATTATTATTATTATTATTATTATTATTATTATTATTATTATTATTATTATTATTATTATTATTATTTGTTTAAAAAAAATAATTCAATCAATAATTATTAGTGCACTTGAAAATGAAAAAAAAAAATCCATACCATGATGATGGCTTTGATGTTATCCCTAGTGAGTTTGATAGAATTATGAAGATCATCTGATTCATCATTCACTTTAGCTTCATCACTGTAAAAAGCCAATAATTCATCAACCATATCACTATCTTCATCACCCCTCATATTCCTCTTCTTCTTCTCAACATGTTCATCAAAAATCTTATCAATAAAACCATCCAACGCACCACGAGCCTTAACGAGCCTAGCATTCAAACCTTGAGGATCAACCCACCTCAACCAAGGAACAAAATCCGCAATATTAAAAGCACCAAACAATTTCGAAAACTCTTGAAGTATCGAAATAAACTCATCTTGACCTTCTTTCGAACTCGACCCAAAGGCCGCACGATAGATGATATTCTTAGTCAAATTAAAAACCAACTCACCAATGTTAACTGATTTTCCCAGATTATCGTTAACATTGGTGATAACAACGTCAACTTCATCTCTAACTGATTCCCACGACTCCGCGCGTTTACGGCTGAAGAGCTTCATGACGCATAGCTTCCGCATCTGACGCCAAAACGGACCGTAGTGAGCGAACGCCATGTCAGCGCGATCATAAGTGAGATAACTTATGGCGATCGTCGCCGGGCGATTCGAGAATATGTTGTCATGCAATTGTAACACTTCACGCGCTGCTTCCGCGTTTGAGATTGCTACCATGTGAATAAACCCCATGCGAAGGTGCAAAACGCCGCCGTATTGTTTTGCTAAATTTGCTAAGCCTCTATGTGTGAGTTTGTCCATCATGTTCATGTTACCTATTAAGGGTAACCCTTTTGGTCCTGGTGGATATGATAATCTTTTGGAGATTTTTGAGGAGAAATTTACTAGTAGAAACATAGTGAGTGGGAGAATAATCCATAATAGTGTTGTGAATGGTTCTAGTGTGGTTTTTGCTTGGTGAAGTAAATCCATGTTCACTTGTGTGTGACTGTGTTTGTGTTTTTGGTTTATGAAATGGTTATTTAGATAGGTGGAGAATCTTTGTAGGAGAGAAATGAATGTTGTTGGGTGATTGATGTGAGATTGCAACTCTAAGGATTGATGAATTTTGAGGATATTATGGGATCATATATATATATATATAGATAAGTAAAATCACGTTGCTTAAGAAAAATATGTGTCAATGGATATTTTTAATGCAAGTGTACGCAACTAATAAAGCATTTATTAAAAATAATATAGAGATATGAGGATGGAGAGTTTTTATTAAAAGAAGGTTAGTTTAGGGTGGAGACCTAACACGTTTTTTCTTTTTCAGTCTAAAAATTTAAAAATATTGGTAGAACCTTATTGAAGAAACCATCTATTATTGAATAATGCATGTATAGTGATTTGTTATGGATTGATAGGTTTAATAATTAATTTGGAGTAGGATGGATACAAAAACTTTACGTAGCGAAATAGTTAATGGTTGATGGGATTGAGTTTCTCATAAATTTTAATTAATGGTTTCTCATAAAGAAACCACCAACCATTGACAGCATAATTAATGAAATAATAAAGTTTTGTTTTAAGGTGAATAATACAATTCTCTGGAATTTAATCAGATATCAATATCTTCGATTAATTAAATATGACAATTCAACATCACTTTTTAATTTATTTTCTTTTAAAATAAAGTCAAATTTAAAAACAATTTGCATCCTATTTAAATTTATAGATGTCAAATATTTTTTTTTAAAATTCTTTCCATTATTAAGATTCATGAAGTTTATTAAATAACATACCTAGTACTAGTAACTTAGAGTGCTACTCGCACCAATTAATTCCCATATTTTCTTTACAAACATCAATTCAAACATAATGTGCAAGAGTTTTTGAAGGAGTTAGGTTAGGTACAATTTTGTTGAAAAAATTTATTATTAGGGATCATTGAATATGTTGAGTTTGTAATTCTTTATGTCAAAGCAGTGTACCTCGACAGAAATAAGATCTAGTCGAATTATTCTAATGTGTGTGTCCAATTGTATTAGTGTGTCGAAGTGTCGAAACGGGTTGTTTCACACAGAATTTCAACTTAGGTCTATTTTAGTAATATTAGTTATTTTGGCCTTTTATAGTTTTAGGCTTTTGGTTTGGGCGCAAGCTAACTTAATTCTATAAATAGGGAGAAACTCTTATTTTTGCAAATAACACAATTCATATTTTGTATTCACAACTTTTAGTTGCAAGTGAATAAGATAATTTTCATAGTTTGTGGGCAGAGAGAACTCTGCAGATTTTTCATCTTCTTCTTCAACATAACTTTCTTTCTTTCTTTCTCAATCTTTTCATTGTCATTGCGTGATTGATAACAATCTTGAGATCGAGAATGAATATGAATTCTCCATAGGTTGTGGTTGAATTCCAACAAAACATTGGGTCAAGAGCAACACAAGTGAGAGAGATACCACATATTCATCCAAAACCTTAAGGTGATAGGTGTATGGGTTCTTCCAGTTATAAATGTTCAACTCTCCAATTTATAACCAATGTGAGACTCTAACTCACACTTGATATATTATTTTTAACAAATTTAACTTAATTGTAGAAAAATAAATAAACTTCCTATTTTTTTACAGGTTAATTATTACAATATTTTATTAGCCCTTGTTTATCTACGATATAATTATGTCTATGCGATATTGAGTCAAACTCTAGTATGGTCGAATGATAATTTTTAATTCGACAGAATCTTAGCATGTCGTCGAAGTCTATTCACATGTTGTAGTCGAAGTATGTTAGGAGTGTTAGTATGTCGAATTGAGCATGTTGTTTATGCCCAATTGTTTAAATTAGTTTGTTCCCTAAGTTAGCTTGTTTAATGGGCATGTGTGTAAAAGTCCATTAGGTTAATGTGTTAGTTTTCTTATAAATAGCATGCTAGTCTATCATCTTACATAAAAGGAAAATCCTAATTAGGATGAGAGAGGTTATTTGTTATTCTATAACACTTGTAATCTTGTCTCAAAGAGAAAGTAAATAATAACAGTTTATAACCAATTTCATTGTGTTCTTCTTGCTTCCTTCTTTTTTACCCTTGTGGGTTTCTTGCTGATCAAGAAACCGATTATACTTTGTTATTCTGACATCGTTTTTCATAATAAATTGGTGCAGTGAGCATGGAGAAGATGCCGTCAACAAAGTATGAGATTCAAAAGATCACTGGAGTGAATGACTTTGGTCTATGGTGCTTGAAGATGAAAGCCCTACTGGTTCAGCAGGGTTGATTTGAAATATTGAAGGGAGCCACAACCATGGACGCTGCACTAACAGACAAAGAAAAAATGAATATGATAGAGAAAGCCCACATCGCCATCTTATTGAGCCTTGGTGATAAAGTTCTTCGACATGTTTCAAAGGAGACGACGACGTCGGGGTTATGGGTGAAGCTCGAAAGTTTATACATGACCGAATCGTTGGTCAATTACCTCTACCTGAAGAAAGCTTTGTACTCATTCAAGATGAGTGAAGACAAAGTTCTGGCTAAGCAGTTGGATATGTTCAACAAACTGATTCTTGATCTTGAAAATATAGATGCCAAGATCGAGGATGAAGATCAAGCATTGTTGTTATTTTTTGCTTTTCTCAAATCACATGCTCGCTTCAAAGAAACTCTCTTGTATGGAAGAAAGTCTCTGACCTTTGAAGAATTTCAATCAGCCCCGTATTTTAAGGATTTTAACGAACAAACAGAGCACAAGCTATCTTCGACTGGTGAAGGCCTGTCGGTTAAGGCGAAGTTCACAAAGAGAGATGGCAAGTTCGACAAGAAGAAGGGTAAAAGTCAGCAGAAGTCTTATAGTGGTGACATCTGGTATTCAATGTTATCACTGTAAGAAGGAGGGTCATACAATAAAAGTGTGCCCTGAACGCCTGAAAGATCGTAGAGGTAAGGACATTGGCAACACAACCATTGTTCAAGATGATTTCGACTCATTTGATGTTCTATTGGTTTCAAGCAGCGACTCAAGTAAAGAGTGGATTATGGATTCAAATTACACTTGCCACATGACTTCAAACAAAGACTTGTTTGAGGAACTATGTGATCAAGATGGTGGATCTGTATTGCTTGGAAACAATAAAGCTTGCAAGATTGCATGTGTTGGATCTATGAGATTTAAGCTCCATGATGAGTCAATAATGTTGTTGACTGAAGTCAGGTACATACCTGATTTGAATAGAAATTTTATTTCTCTTGGTGAATTTGATAAGAAAGGATATGTTTTCAAAGGAGAGAAACTATCCTAAGAGTCATGAATGGGTCAAAGGAAGTCTTGAGAGGTGTGAAGAAACAAGGCTTGTATACCCTTGAGGCTGAAGTTATAAGTGGTTTTGCAGATGTTGCATCCATGAAACCTTTGTCGAAGACAAAAATTTAGCACATGAAATTGGGCCATGTCAGTGAAAGGGGTATGGTCGAATTGGAGAAACAAAATCTACTTTGTGAAGACAAAGTCGAAAAGTTGAAGTTTTGTGAACCTTGTGTACTTGGAAAATTTCGCAGAGTGAAGTTCAATAAAGGAAAACAAAGAACACATGGATCCTTTGATTACATCCATGCTGATTTTTGGGGGCCTGCAAGGTGTCCATCACATTCAGGAGCAAGGTACTTTCTATCCATAGTTGATGATTATTCCAGAAAGTTATGGATATTCATCTAGAAAACTAAGGATGAAACTTTTGAGAGTTTCAAAAGTTTGAAGACTCTGGTCGAAAATCAGACTGGCAGAAAGGTCAAGAGATTGAGAACCGACAATGGGCTTGAATTTTGCAATTAGGCGTTCAAATTTTTGTGTGCAGCCTCTGCTATTACAAGGCAAAAAACTAGTGCATGTACTCCCTGTTGCACCCCAAATTTTGACCCCTTATATCCTCTTCATATCATATGCATTTATTTGTCTAACATTAACCAGTTTCAGAGTGTATTTTGTCAAGACACAGATGGAACGGGGCTCCGGACTGATAAAATCGAAGGATTCGAGGATTGGGTAACCATCGCTTTGGGATGAATCATTCATGAAATAAGATCAAGAGTATCATATTGGACCATGTGTGAGTTCAATTTGCAGTGATCACCCACAGATGAGGTGCAGTACAGTTCAGGGTACCCGATTAGGGTTTTCGAGCAGGAAAAGTCAACCGTAGTTTGACTTTGGATTTAAAGGAAGGTTCAATGATGCAACTTTGGTCCAACAAGTTTACAAGACTTAGTGAAGTCCCCTCAAAGGGTTTCAAAGTCTTGGAAGCTCCGAAACATGAACAGACAGTTCGGTAATCGCCGATCGATCGTTCGGTTGACCGGAAAGTCAACCCCCTCAAGTTTTAGGAATTGAACTTCAAGTGGTGAAGCAAAGTTGTTCCTTATGTCATAGGGGACCTACATATCAATTTTCATGATCATCGGATCAAAGACGTGAGAGTAATTGGAAAAACGGGAAATTAGGGTTTCGAAAGGGGCTAAACCCTAACTCCCTAACCGCGCACCCGATTGAAGTGGTTCAAAGCTCGTCGGAAAGCTCTTAATAAGTCCTACAAAAGTCCTATACTAGGTCACACTCAGAAAATGCATGGAATTGAAGTTATCATCAAAATCGATTCTTAGTACAAAACACTTAGTGAAATTTTGAAAATCTGGCAGCACTAAAACTTGTTTTTCGCTGACTTTGAAGGACTTTTCAACCAAGATTCACATAGATTTGGAACTTTTGGCAAACATGAATGTTGTAGAGCTACATAAGGGCTTTCCAAAATGTACAAGAACTCCCCAAGAGGAGTTAGGAGCTGAGAGTTATGAAGTGTGAAAGATGGGCCTGTGCACTAGTGTATTAACTTGCTTAAATCCAACATAAACTTGGTTCCCAACCATACACTTCATCTCCAACCATGGATGGACATCTGATATGATAAGTTTAGAGGTTGGAATAGATAAA